TAGCTATCCTTAGTAAGGTGGGTAACTTGAAATAGCTGAGCAAATACAAACGTACCTTTCAAATAGACAGCTATTTGAAGTTACATCTGTCAAAACATCTAAGAGAAATATTTCCGCGAGCGAGATTCAAACAGCTCGACACAATGGTCAGATATGGGAGATTCCATTATATACCTTCCAATGAACGTTTCTGCATTTGCGGAGCAGCAGAAGTAGAAGACCTGGTTCACATCCTATTTGATTATTGTTTGTACAAGAGGGTGGAGACAGGTATCTCGGTCTATATACCAAACAAATGACCCATTGGGATCCCCATATCAAAACAATTTATATTATGTGCGGCCAGAATCTGAAAATAACATTTAACACAGCACAATACTTAAGCAAAATAGCTCAGTTGAGATATGCATATGTGGGACTGATTGGGGTAGATTGCAGGGTGACACCAAAATATAATTTTATCATATTTTATCTTAAATTATTGTATTCTATTCCAATTTCATTTTAAATTGCTTTTAACAAATTTTAGTAATAATTTGTTTCTGGAACTCTGCATTTTGATATGGCCCAAGGGCTAATCAATAAATAAAAGTAAGTACATCTGTCTTACCTTTGCTCTCTCTTTCCTTCTATATAATATCTCCTCCTATTTTGTTACTCATACATTTTGAAATTATTTATTCCTTACAGAGAAACAAAGAATGACGCTTTCTGGTTTTTATGAGGGAGCTCAAACAGTGGTTGAACCTGCAAATCAAGTAAGAAAGGGAAAAGTTATTAGATTTTTATTCTCCTTCCCCATAATCACCACCCCCCACTTTGTTTGGCCTGGATTATTTTTGTGCTCTTCCACAACATGGACAGCAGAATAGCAGGTTCAAGTTGCTTTCGACCAGCATAGCTTCCTCTGTTTATCTTGTTCTGCTCGGTTCTCCTCCAACTTGTCGTTTACAAGAAGCAATTTTTAAAAAGTCCTTCCAGAAATAGGAATAAATGTATCACAGTGGCAGAAACTGCTAGAGACCCTTTTTTTGGTAATTCTTTGACTCGGAATTGTGCAAGGCTAATGAAAAATAACAAGACTCACATTGCCATTTTTAAAAACCCGTAGTTCAAAGAATAAGCAAATCATATTAAAAAATAAAGCAAAATTTTAAAATCCAAAGAGAATGGCCATGTAGAGCATGTAATCGTGGTACTTTGGGCTATGAAATAATTTCTGATTTGTGCCTGGATTAGGAGATCAAACATTCCCACTTTCCAAAGGCTGAGAAATGACATTTGCAGGGAATTTTCTCTTCTTTATTTTCTTCCGTTCAGCCAGTGGCTCAAGACTAATAGATCAATCAATGATACACAGTGTGATAGATCAGTTGATCCAGAAGTGGGATTACTGAGAGGCACTGGAAGTTCTGAAGAATCCATTAACTTGATAAAACTTCACCAAATATTTCTTCAGTCAAAGAAATTTTCAGAATTGCCCATTTTCTCACCTAAAATTAGGACTTGTGTAACCCACAGCCATTTAACTTAGTGCATATCTCTGCTTTGGGAATTTGGGAATGATGGAAATCAGAATAACAAGAGTTTGTAGGGATCTTGGAGGTCTTCTAGTCCAACCCCCTGCTCAGACAGGAAGCCCTATAACATTTCAGATAAATGGCTGTCCAATTTCTTCATCAACACCTCCAATGTTTGAGCACCCATAATTTCTGGGGGGAAGTCATTAAACTGATTAATTGTTCTCACTGTCTGGAAATTTCTCTTTAGTTGTAGGTTGGTTCTCTCCTTGAATAGTTTCCATCCATTGCTTCTTGGAACACTGCTACCATGTCACACACACATCCAAAGTCTTTCTTTTCATTAAACTAGCCATACCCAATTTCAGCAACCATTTTAATATGTTTTAGCCTCCAGTCCATTAATAATTTTTGTTGCTCTTATCGGCACTCTTTCTAGAGTCTCAAGATCTTTTTTTACATCTGACAACCAAATGCAATATTCCAAGTCTGGTCTTGGCAAGCATTATAAATTGGTACTACCACTTCATGTGATCTTAATTCTATCCTCCTCTTAATGCAGCCTATGATTGTATTGGGGTTTTTTGACTACCGTAGCACACTGCTGACACTAGGACTCCATGGAGGGAAGTAAGCAGTAGGGTGCCACAGGGTCCCGTCTTAGGCCCAGTACTCTTCAATATCTTCATTAACAACATAGATGAGGGAAAAGAAGGGGAATTTATTCAGATTTGCAGATGATACTAAGCTGGCAGGAATAGCTAACACCCAAGAAGATAGGCTCAAGATCCAGATGGATCTTAACAGACTAGAACACTGGGCCATATCTAACAAAATGAAATTCAATGTAGAGAAAAGTAAAGTCCTATACCTAGGCAAGAAAAACCAAAAGTACACATATAGACTGGGTGAAACCAGGCTCAATAGCAGCAACTGTGAGAGGGATCTTGGAATCTTAGTGGACAACCAGCTAAATATGAGCCAGCAGTGTGCAGCAGCAGCTAAAAAAGCTAATGCAATCCTAAATTGCATTAACAGAGGGATACAATCAAGATCAAGAGAAGTACTAATACCACTCTATAAAGCCTTAGTAAGACCACACCTAGAGTACTGCATCCAGTTTTGGCCTCCACACTATAAAAAAGATGTTGAGAATAGTTCTAGCATTGTGGAAATATGCATACCTTTATATCTGTTCAGTGTTCCGATAGTTGAGGGGCTGCCACAGAGAGGAAGGGGTCAAGATATTTTCTAAAGCACCCAAAGTCCAGACAAGGAATAATGGATGGAAACTGGAAAGATTTAACCTGGAAATAAGGAGAAACTTTCTGACAGTGAGAACAATCAACCAATGGAACAGAAGTCGCCCTCGGAAGTTGTGGGAGCATCATCACTTGAGACTTCCAAGAAGAGATTAGACTCCCATCTGTCAGAAATGGTGTAGGGTTTCCTGCTTGGACAGGGCGTTGGACTAGATGACCTACAAGGTCCCTTCCAACTCTGATTATCTGCTATCTGTGTTGCGCTTACTACTGTTGAGCCAGGTATCACCTATTCTATCCCTGTGCATTTAGTTTTTCTTTCCTAAATGTAGAACCTTACATTTCTCACTGTTGATTTCATTTTGTTAGATTTTCTTACATGAGGCCCAATCCGTCAATCCTTCTGTATTTCAAGCCTATGTTCTGGAGTTTTTATATTCAATTTGGTCTTGTCTATTCTTAGATGGGTCCCAATCTATCGATCCTTCTCTATCTCAAGCTTATCTTCTGGTATTCTTGTTATTCCTGTCAATTTGGTCTTGTCTGCAAATTTGATGAGTTCCCATTCTATTCTCTTGTCTAAATCATTGCTGAAGATGAATAGATCTTGCAAATCCTCTTTCTGTGTTCTTTTTTCTGTGTTCAGGAGAATCTTGTGTCCTTCGAGGAGGTGGCTGTGTATTTTTCTGAGGAGGAATGGTCTCAGTTGGATTCTGACCAAAAAGCACTGCATTCTGAAGTCATGCTTGAAAACCATAGGAACGTGATCTCTCTGGGTAAGATTTTTCTTGACCCAAATCAATGGCTGAGGAATTCTGGGAGTTGAAGTCCACAAGTCTTAAAAGTTGCTAAGCTTGGAGAGCCCTGCTCTGAAGGTCATGTGAGAGGAGTGTGTTGTCACTTGTCCTCTGAAACCTCCCCAAATTGTGTGAAAACAAAACTCATGGTCAGAACTTTTCATGGCCAAATGCCTTTTGGCAAGTTAGGTTCCACTGTAGGGATTGCCCGGGGGGGAGGGGTGTTCGTCCCTGGGGTCCCTGTCTTTAGGAGGTCTGTCATGGGTTTGCAAAGGAGTAGATGAATCTTTGCAAAGGAGTAGATGAATTGCCTGTAAAAGTTTGTGAATCCCAGGAAACTTTGTAACTGTCTGCGGGTGCGAGGGGGCTGCCACTCTAGCATGGCTTGTATTTCGGGCTGGGTCAATCTCTATCCTCTCATTTGACGCTGATGAGACTTTGGGGAAGCAAATGAGCCATTCTTGAAGCCTCCCAACCTTTGCAGAAGAACTGCGGTGTGAGATCATGCGAGATTAGTGGCCTGAGATCTTGCACTACTGGTCTCGTGTGATCTCTTACTAAAGTATTTTAGGCCTCCGTTCTCTGTGAACTGTACCAGATCCGGCCAAAGAGCCCTTGCAAGCCGATGAGACTTTGGAGCAGCGAAGTAGCCATTCTTGAAGCATCCCAACCTTTGCAGTCTCAGCGCAAAAAGAGTTTACAAGTCATTGTGAAGCTTCAAGCAAGGGATTTAGCTCCAAAATCTCATCACTGGGATCAAGGAACAGGCCGAGTGGGGGTTCTGCCAGAGAGACACCATGGAGCAGCTGATCCAAAGTACACTGGAGAAGGAGCTTGTTTCAAAATTGTTTCAATTCTCACCGATTTCTGCTGAAATTAACCCACCCCAATAAATCTTAACATTTCTCCTAATTCCTCCTTGGATGTTTCCACTGATAGTTCCTTAACTCAAAACTAGCTTTGAGTGAGATTTGCACATATATAGATAATTGTAAAGAAACAGATATTTTCTAGATATTTTCAAAGCTTTCGTTACTCATGAATATAGAAATCATCATGTCTATATCACACCGCTGGAAGCATGCAAACATACAACCTAATGGAATTTCCGAGAAACTCAGAAGGAAATTCACTTGACTTTCTACAGTTTGATCTTTTTCTCTAAGCTTGTTATCATTTTCATTTCCCTTTTGCTTTGAAGGTAATAATGAGCAGAAGAATCAAGGTTCCCGTGAAATGTTCCAAGTGATCAATGCTAAAGATGGAATGGAGAAGTTTGGAATTCAACTGGAATTCGAAAGCCATGAAAGAAACCAGTCAAATAATTGGAACCAGGAAAGCTCATCTTCCACTGATGCAGCAATGCAAGACTTCCTTGCCCAGCAAGAGAAACCATTTAAATACATGGAGAGTGGAAAGACATTTGCTCAAAGAGGTCATCTTTTTTCCCATATGATGATCTATACAGGGGAGAAGCCTTATAAATGCTTGGAGTGTGGAAAGGCCTTTGCTTATAGTATTGGACTTACTATCCACAAAAATATCCACACAGGAGAGAATCCATATAAATGTATGGAGTGCGGAAAGACCTTTGCTCACAGCAGTCGATTTAGTTGCCACAAAAAGATCCACACAGGGGAAAAGCCATATAAATGCATGCAGTGTGGGAAAGCCTCTACTCGTAGTAATCAACTGAAAATCCACAAAAGGAGACACATGGGAGAGAAACCATATAAATGCATGGAGTGTGGGAAAACCTTTCCTTGT